TTTGATAAATAATTCGTTCTTATTGCGAAATAGGAGCACTATTTATCAATCTGTAATAAAAGGCGTGAGGAAATTCTGTCTTTTTTAAAGACAAACATTTTTGAGACGAAATACCCAAAAAGAAGTTTGTAAAAAAATGAATCCGCCTCAACAATATAGAACTTATCTAAAATTCAGAATGTTTTTCTTATTTATACGTTCCTGACTGTCTTCTTTGTAAATAGGTACATCATGATGCCATAACTTTTGAATTTACGATGTCACTTTAACTTTAGCTTTTGACATTTAGGAAGCAACTGGTGTTTACGTAATGTCAATAAGGCCCATTGCCTTAAGAAACAGTGTTGCATAATTTCTGATCTAGTTTTTTGCAAACGTCTCCGTTTTTGAAGGGAATTAATGGGTTTGCCTATTTTTCCCGTTCTCCCTAAACACCTCCCGAGAGGACTGACGCCGAAATTTGGCACCCCCTGGTAGTTTTAGCATCATTGGGCGCTTTAAATCGGTTGCATGATAGTCGTTTTTTGCTCAAATCTTTCAGCGGTCGCGTCACTTGGTCCAGCAACGTCTTCATTACCATAATACAGGCTGTGCCCGATGTTCACCTCATGTCCCTGTCAAATTATCATTGTTCGCTTCAATTTAACGATCCTCATTCTATTCAAAACGATACGATTTTCGAGACGGTGGCGTGTGCGTTTGTTCCCGCGGCCCACTACTATTCGGCCCAAAAGGGTTGGGCTTGTTAAAATAAATACCAGAACCGCGGATTAACCGTATTAGGCAGATGTCACTGTTCCTACGTAAGTTATTTATGCCACTGTATGTACACACCAGACTAGACTAAAGCGCAAAGCCGCTCGGTCAATGTTTTGAATTCCATTAAGCGACTAGGGGGTTGTGGAAATGATCGAAACACGATCTATCAAATCGGTAGATCCAAAGTGTCAATCGAATGCACCGTTTGATTCGCTTTTTCGAATCGCACTCGGTGATCGATGGGTTTCGGGTTAGTTTGGCCTTTCAATGTGCAAACAAGTTGATGGCGCAAGTTGCCCAAATACTACCATTTTTTCATATAACCGAAAATTGTTAATTAGGGCCTGTTAATTAAGAGCCACTAGTTTTTCCAGTCAATTTGCCCACACCTCCACTGTAGTTCTGTGGTTGGGTGGATGGGTTTTATTGCGCTGACTGTATAAAGGGTTAAACAAATCGCCTGGATGAAGTGACAGTATGCGAAATCTGCTCCGTTTAAATTTATCGAAATTGAGTAAATTTTCCAGTCCTTCTACAGTTTTGTGGTATTTTAACGAGTGATAGTGTGCTTCTTTCAAAGAAAACTCGAATTTTGAACCAAAATTACAAATTGTCAAATTACAAATTGTAGTTATAATCTTAGCCACCAGGGGACGTCTGGACTTTTGAACTCGCAAATTGTAATCGCATCAATCCAGTCATTTTCACCCCCGTCAATATGTGACACTGTGTGAAATCTGCTCCGCTTAAATTTGACGAAATTGGGCAAATTTTCCATTTTCCAGCTGAAAATTGTTGCATTTCCCATCAAGGAAGTTTCCTTCTACAGTTTTGTGGTATTTTCTCGGGTGATAGTGCGTTTTTTTCGAAGAAAACACGAATTTTCAACTAGGCCTTCACCTGACGTTTGCTGTCAGGTTAGGCGTCGCGCACCAATACGCATGCAAGCCGGGAACTGTTGATAAGTGAGTGCAAATTAGGAGTTTTCGGACCATTTCTAGACTTTATTGAACTTTCTGCCGATACTAATGGAATGGATGGGATGCTGCAATTCAACGTGCCTTTGGTGAGTGCATTTTTAGTCACATTTGATGATTTGCTGAGGTACATTTATAACAATTTTTATAGACAGGGTGATTAAAAATTGGACGGGGAGAGAAAAAAATATATTTTATAATTTCTGGAAGATGTTAACAGTTGAAAATCCATGTTCAATTGGTAGCATATTGGAATACTTAAGCATTCAAAAAGAAAAATTACGAACTTTGCTTCAAATTACGAAAATTTTAAAAATTAAAAGAGTTCTCTTTCTTCTATCTTATAGTCACTTTCTGTATAATTCCATGGTTACCGGAGTTTTTAATAATTATGAAGCAACAGGTTAATTGACAAATTAACGTTAATTAGGCAGATTACCTTGAAAAACGTTGTTGCCGTCTTTCAAATATAGTTTTTTGGAAATGTCTCAGTTTTTAATAAGAATTCATTTGTTTTACTATTTTTTCTAATTCCTAAAACACCGCCAGACAACACCTCCAGAGGAAAGACGCCAATTTTGAATCGCTCTGTAGATATTTGGGCATTAAATGAGGTTGAATTTTAAATATCGGGTTATATGTTATGCCAAAAGTGTGCCACGTTTGGTAGCTTCTTCAAAGTATTTGAATTGATCCTTTTGTCCAGTCCAGTCCTGTGCCTTGTGAATACTGTGGAAATCTCAGAAAAAGCGCCCTCCAACCACATGATTTAACAGCTCCGGTAAATTTGTTATTAATGGCGCTGTTTTGGAGTTCCCGACTAATCATATCTTTTCTGGCGCGCGTGTGTGAGTGTTGCGCACAGTTTCACATCACTTTTATATCCGGAAATAAATCGCCTGTTTATCCTAGTTTCGCAACTCTGGATCGATCCTCAAACCGAGCCTCCAGAGCGTCATTCTCTCTATGTAGTGCGACCTCAATGGTGAGAGAAATTGAGGAACTGTCTGGCAACTTTCGGTTAGACAAAACAGCCCCATCCGAATTCATGGGGCCGTGGAAATTGTTCCAGCGCTCTAAATTAATATAAATAATTCTCGCCCGCTTTCCATTCCCCGTTTTCCATCATGTGTATTTCCATGAGTTTATTCAGTGTACACATGCCGAGACACCGGTTCCGCCTGTCAAAACTTGGGAAGTGCATTGTGCTCGCATTTTGTATGGATGTTGGGCGGAAAATACTGCAGCTCGGCCTAAATTATGCAGGATTTTACTGATACGGAGTGCATGAAACAACGGATTCTATCGATTTCGAACAGTCAAAGGATACTGCAACTAGGCCTGGGTAACACTGTTTTGAGTTGCGCTATTGAGTTGTTGCCGCTCTCTGAGTTAGCGGGTTATAACTCAACGCTTCATGAGTTATAAGTGAATTATTAAAGCTTTACGAGACCCGAGCCTGGAATTTTCACATCTAAAAAAAGGGTTATTATCATTTTTTCTGAGTAAAGTTTAACAGGTGTTCAAACAACTAAAAAAAATAATATGGATTTGCCCAGCAAGAGAACCGAGTCCAAAGAAAGTAGACCAGTTTTCTTGTAAAATCGATCTTCATTTTTTTTGCATGAAAGATTCAGTTTGCCAGTATTTTACAGTCAAACGTTAGGAAAAACGCGGTTTTTCTGTTTAGAGACAGTGTTGTTTAGGAATATTGACCTAAAAGGGAAGAAACCCCAGTTTCCAAGAGTTTTCCAAATAAATGATTATAAACGTTCGCTTTTTCAGTTCGGGGACATATTTTTGGAATGATACCCAGAAACAATTACAAAACAAAAAAGAAGAAAATCATCAGGAAAATAATCCTTTTCGGGTTTTCGGGAAAAAAGGTAGGAGTTTATTTTCGTTTTTGTTCCGAATTCGACATTGAAAAAAGTTTTGTACAATTTTTACAAAGCTGGAAATTTATCTTGTAATTTTTTGCGTTTGAGCGTTTTTGAGTAGAAAGTAGAGTATGAAAAAAAAATTAGTTAAAACTGAAAACCACATTTTTCTACAAATTCTCTAATCTTCAAACGAATGGAGATGACGAGATTTCCAAATAAACTGTCGCTTATTCTGTTCGTTTTTTGTTAGAAAATTGTTTTGATTTTTGTTCCAAATTCAAAGCTGAAAAGGGCTTTCAAAACTTTTTACAAAGGGACAAAGGATTCGAAATTTATTTTATATTTTTTCGCGGAAAATACCTTAAGATTGTCAACATTTTTAATTAAAACTTTAGAAAATTGAGCATTGAGAAGAAGGAGTAACTTGGCTAAAACAGGAAATATGAATACATTTCAAAAACATTATTAATAAATGGCTTTTAAACTAAATCTACAAAAAGTCATCAACATTTTCCCAGCAACGGAACTGAGTTTCTGCGCTGGTACGTTGGGTTGGCGCACCAAGCCATTTGCGCAGCACTGAAGAGGACACTTCGCTTTGTTTTACAAAGAAGCTTATGTTCTAATGTTCTCTTTGCGTTCCTTCGAGACTTTCTGATTTTAAAATTTTAAAAATTTGCTAGGTCAAAAAGTCAAAATCTGAACTAGGTACGAACCTGAGTTTGACTTCCTCAGAATGAGAAAACTGCGCTCTATTCGAATCGGTGTTTTTCTCAATTTTCGCAGTTTCATTGAAATAAACTTGGTCTTCGCGTCAGAACTTTCCGGTAAACATTTTTTTAAAAATCGCAATTCAATGTTGGAAACAGTGAGGTACAGACCTGCTTTTTCCTTCCATAGAATGCAAAAAATCACAATTCAATCGCTGAAAATCTCATTTTAAGTTTTTTTGAGTTTCGGGTCTCAATAAAAAACACTTTAATGACATGACTGAATCTTTGCTCGCAAGTCTCCACCGGAAGCTTCCCAGTCGATTCCAAGCGATTCAAATTCAGCAAAAAAGCCCTGAAACCTTCGATGACTAGAAGATATCTTGACTCTTCCAGTGCGCCAGTTTGGGGCAAGTTTTGTTACAGTAAAGCAAAATCAGGCCTACTAAACCACCTCCATCCAGGCGCGTGACTCCTTAAGACTGGCTCCATACGAGCCAAATTCCCGAGCCCTCATCAGCGCACTCTCAACCGGACGGTTGCCGTTCTTCAGGTCCCAATCGCGCTCTCAGTTCGCGCTAATGGTTTGAACGAGGAGCTTATGCTGCTCCAGCTGAAAAATTACGACAAACGTGCTTGAGTTACAAAACAAACTGACCATTCGACCCTTTCGCTGTGCTTGGTGGGTGCTTTGTGCCGATTTTTTGAGTTTTGGATTAACGTCTTCCATCGGCTGGCGCTGCGAAGAAGTAAGTGTTGTGGATGGGTGTTTTGCCTTAAAAAAGGCTGGTTTGTGCCAATATTTTCTAGTGCTCCTCCTCTAGGTTTTGAATGGGTTTTTAATTGAAATCTGTAGGCAGCCATGCCCCAGAATCCGCGGCCTTTTACCGACGCGAAGATAAAATCCTTCAGCTCTTCGGTCGGTCAAGCAAAGCCCCAAGATTTAATTACAGCGCGTTTATCACTCTGACTGGGGGCATTAATAAATATTCCATAAATCCATGAGAAGAGGAGGAGGAGGCAGCGGGATCTAGTAAATTTCAACTCTGTAATTTATTCGAAATGTTCACAACAACCATTTGGTGCCCAGCTGGTGCCCGAGTAATACACGTGTAACTTTTAATGGAAGAATGAGTTGCGACAGGTTAATGGGAAATTAACAGTCTCTCCTCCAATTCTTCTTGCGATTGCCGTTTGAAAATGAGAACGGCTTTTCACTCGTGTAATCTTATCAATGCCATGCCCGGAGAACCCTAAGCCAGTTAGAGGATTAGGCCAAAGTCGCTTTGATGCTCATGATTTCGATTTTTTAGGCTTGTTTGGCTCGTCATGTGTTCTAATCCCGCCCGTTGTTTATAGCCGATTTACATCCAAAGCCAATAAATGGCTTAGTGACACGAAATTATTCAGTCTAATTATGCTGTGATGCAGGACTTTTCTAATCCAGAATAGTCCTAAAGCTTTCTTCAAGTTCTTCGGTTTTTTATGCTTTCGGATTCTTTTGCGCTCCCAAATCGGAAAAGCGATGTAGATGAATGGGAAGAATTAGCCAACTTTAGTGGTTTTCCAAACTGTCACGAGTAAAGAATCAACCGAAAACTTCTGGATTAGAAAACCAGTTCGTCACATTTTCAGAGCTAATGGAAAATGGGTCAACAATTGCTACCGAGGCCTAGAAGATTTATAAAAAATGGAAAAATTACGCCGCTTGATGAAAAATTCTTCTTCAATCGTTTATCTTGTCTTCTTGAGGATATTTATTGATCAACTGGCAAACCGAGTCTGAGAACGGCCAAAAAATCAGAAATTAAAAGGCCTGAATGGGCACTTCGAGTCCGAAGTTGCTCCTGACCCGTATAATTAAAAATGTTCAACTTTCGTGAACTTTTTCGAGTGGAACTTTCCAGCCCGATAATGCGAACGTTTAGTTTTGAGTTTGGCCCCGGCTTTTTCCAGCAGCTTCATTAATGGGATTATTTAGGCCATTTAATTTGCTGGAATTCTGGGCATTTTTACGTGGAAACAACCAGCAATCGGTTTTTAATTCGTTCAAGGAAAACAAATTGGAAAGACAAAAACGAAATTGACTGTAGCAGCCTATAAACCGATAGTTTCCGTCAAGACGAAATGATTTATGGTCGTTTCTGACTGGCCATTTATGCATAGAAAGCCCGAGTAACCGTTCCAAAGGAGCGCTTTAAGGGATCAATTTCTTGAAAGCATATGGAATCAAAAAGGGCCCTCTTAGCCAGCCCGTGCAGCTCCTTTTGCCTGATGACCCACTTCACCGCAGCCTAATTAACTTTCCAAGAGGCCGTTTCGGCTCTTTTCATTCGTGCATTCGATCAGTTCAAGGGGACTTTAACCAACAACACCCAGAAGATATTTTTAAGATGTTGTCGATCTCTTTAGAATTTACCTCACTCTGTACTGTGGTCAAAAGGCGTATAAAACTGGTTAATAAGCAAATTTATGGCCTGTTTTGTTTAGAAATGT